ATTACTTATATATATATATATATGATTTATTTTATTATAAAATACTATGTTCTTTTTTCACTTTAATTATGTGATAGTAAATCAACATTTGTGGGAGTTAATTCTTTTTAATTTTGTGTTGAATAAAATTGAGTAGAGAAATATAGTAAATCAATAATTGTGGGAGTTAATTCTTATTAATTTTTTGTTGAATAAAATTGAGTAGAGAAATTTAGTTCTTATATTAAAGTGTGAGTTAAATATTGTGTTTTAGTTAAAAATAAAAATGAAAATAATTAATTAAAAATAAAAGATGACACATGTCATCAATAGAGAGCGCCAAATGTCGTAACGTGGTGAAAAGTTAGAAAAAACCTTGTTATATTATATAAGATATCTTAAATACTCATGGTATATATAGTTTACCAGCTACTGTGATTGATTTAATGGGTAGATCTTTAAAGAATATCAACATTTTATGTAATACTGAATCTTAACATTTTTCAGTCCAAGATTTTTAGAAAATATTTATTACTATCATCTGTCATTATTAGAAATATACTTATTCGTGTATTTTTTTATCTGTCATCAAAATTATAGGTGAATTAAACATAATTATCTACTATATATATATATATATATCCCTCCCATAGTGCATTTAATAATATGCAGATTATGTCAAAACTATACAGTTGTTTGATAAGTTTCGTAGTTTGTTTTATCATTTCCCATGTTCTCTTTTGAGTTGGTCTCTCTTGTTCTCTTCCTCCTGCTTCTCTCTGTAGGTTTCGTGTGATTTCATATACTGATGATGACATACAGTTTGATGTCTTTTTCGCAATGACATTAATTAATATATACTTTCAATATTAACTTAAAAACGCATATCTTACATTTTTTTTCTATTTGAATAATGAAACTTATTCCTTGTTCTCACATGCTAACATGTACTTAACCTTTCCTTTAATCATTAGCTTACTGGAAAGCTATGAACGGACGAAAAAAAGAACAGTCTGGATATTAGAATTACATTCTTTTTATAATTGACTTCTCTTTCATATAGTTATATATAATTCTACATTCGAAGATTTTTATCCGTATAATAATTGAATTGGACATATATAATTTCGTGATTCCATAATCTTATTTGGACATGTATATAGCTAACTGACAACCCGATTTTCATATTATACAAATATATATATGCACTCAATCATATTGTCAAAACGATGTAAAGTAGATATAATATATGTGTGTGTCAAATATCATATATTTGTTTAATGATTATGCCAAACAGATTTTGTAATGAGTCTTCATGATTAGTGGAAGTCACATTATTCTTTCCACCAAACCATATGGGAAAAAATAAATCAATATACTGACGACGAGGCTCTTGACTTTCGGATAGATATATCCCTTTTTAAAGATTCCTCATCCTCCATATATTTACCACTATGAAACTATGGTTGTATTGATCATGTACTACATGTTTATATCGGCCATAATATTTAGTGTCTAGTGCAATATTAAATACATGGTCCTTAATTATTTAAATGCATTTTATATATGGTTTCAGGCCACGTTAGTTGGTGTATTAGTGTATAATCCAAATTTTTACATTCTTATAGATTATATGAGACGACTCTAACTAAATTAATATTCTCTCTCGTCTCCACACTCTATATACAATATTCTCTTAATATGACCTCATATTGCTCGGGAATTATATGATTATTTAAAGATATAACGTTTGACATAGATGAAATGTTTTGACATTGTTGTTACTTCTGAGTTCTGACCATATGGAGTTATTTAAATTTTGTTTGTTTTAGTGATCTAAATTTTTGTATGTTACAAGCTTAAAGTGTCCCTACCAGCCAATAAAATTTCGAAATTTATACTATTGCATCTAATAGTGAAAGAAAAATGCTTTGGCTTGTAAAATAACTGAGGAGAAATTAAAATAAAAACGATGAAAACAACCTTGCCGTTTCCATGTTCGTCACATAATGATCGTCACATAATGAAGACATGATATTGTTTTTATTACAAAATAATATGCAGAAATAGAAAAACATTTTGACGCCGTCAAAAACAAAAAAAAATACACTTAAATATCTCTATTTTTAGTCGAATATCCTTAGACCCATAGCTAGAAAAGAAAGAATCATCCGTCCACGAATCCTATATCTGTCTATCTATCTATCTAGTAACGCTTTCTATTAACATATCGATTGAATTGTCTAACTATTTTGGTCTTCTTAATATATAGTACATCAATTCTATATGTGCTCATATGATATATACATACTTGACAGGAAGAGAAAAGTCATATATTACAATTACAAGGCGTAAAGGATTACAAGAGATGAGCTCATTGCAGAGCAGCTTTCATAGACGCACGCACGCACGACCATCCTTATTCCTTCCTCATCATCATTTTTAAACAATCCCCCTAGCTTTTTCGCTTTTTCTTATATCCACTAAGTCCACCCTATATATGTTGAAATTTATATATCCTTAAATATA